TATATATATACATATATATATGTATAATATATATACGTATATAGAAATTTGTGCAAAAAAGGATTTTCATTCATCAAGGAGATCCTTTTCTTCCGCGGCCGCAGGCAGGTCGACGAATGGACAAAGGGGGTTGGGAAATATTAATTTATGACCAGGACGAAATTATGCGCGCCACTAAATCAGGACCGCTGCTCTTTTGTTCGAAAATTCCGGTCCTGGTCCTGGCGCCTTCAACTGGTAAACCGCCACCACCGCCGAGGAAAGCATCCATCGTCCTTCGCGCGCGCGAGGTCACACGGCACCGCCAACCCTTTCCCGCCCCGGCGGCGCGGCGCGGCGCGGCGTTTACCCTGATTTCAGCACTCGTCGGTAATTGACTGTCTCGGCAGGCTCAAGTTAAGACTTTGCGCGCGCGTGGGCGACAGCGGTTCCCTGGGCAAATCCAGGCTCATTCGTCGTCCGTCCGAAACTTCTGAGATGCCACTCAGAAGTGGAGGCTACACATCGTCCAAGCGTCCAAGCGACAAAAGGGTCGGAACGGATAGGGAACGGTATAGGGCGTGTAGAAAAACGGCGCGAGGAAAAATAACTTATGTCGGCGGGGGGGGGGGTAGGAGAATGCTGCGAATCCCCATTTCAGGGACGCGTAATTTTTCTACGCGTTCCCTGAATCGCTCTTGCAAAAAAAATACCCNTCTTTTTTCTTTTTCTTTTTTTTTATTTAGATCCCCTCATTCGCGCTTCGAAGTGACAGATGTGTTATCCCCGACGTGAAATATTCTCCGGGCGCGAAGATATTTCAGATTGACCGTAGCTTTCTCCGTTTGATTTTGATGTATTGTTAATAGTGTTAGACGCGGCCGTCTGTCTGATACGCCTCACCCCCCCGTCTCCCCCGTACTTTAGTCCCGCTGTTGCGCAACGCGCGCTATTGCAAGATTTACTAGGTAACGTCGCGTTCGAACGGCGCTGGCATTAACTATTCTAATCTACGTTGTAATTTATTGTCGCGCGGCGGTACGTGTCCGCGACGTTAACTCCCGGTGAAGTATCAGCGTGTTTACAATATCGCGTGAAGCGCGCGCGAACCCGGGACGTAATCTCGCGCTCTTATACTCGCGAGAAATTGAGTATAAACTTAGAGTAATTACCTGCTTTCGTAGATACACGAGAAAAGGGAGCGAGAGAAGGAGAGACAGAGAGAGGGAGAGAAAGAGAGAGAGAGAGAGAGAGAGAGAGAGAGAGAGAGAGAGAGAGAGAGACAGAGAGAGAGAATGAGAGAGGAAGAGATTGCACCCAATTTTTATTCGCATCCGGTCATTGTTCTAGAAACAGCGACATCCTTCCTGCCTGCAGCAGCGACACGAGACGAGAACCGTACATTAGGCTGACGGAAGAAATTTGACATCGTGCACGATAAGTCGCCGATTGAGTAACGAGCATTCTTTCTTCCCGTCGAAGATTTCCAATCATTTTATGCAAATCCACGGCCGATCGCCGGGACAGACAAGCGTCTTTTAATGGCATCGGTATCGCCATTATCGAATACACAGCGCGGATCGTTAAGCTCCCCGAGCCGTAAAGAAGATTATACGTCAGCCGGTTAATCTAGTTAGCGCGTATTGCGCAGTTTCATCTGTCGTCTGCCATGAATTTACATTTGCTTTTATGTCATCCCATTATACGACTCTGCCAAACATAAAATCTTTTTGTGGTGTCCATTGGGACACGGTGAAATAAATAAAACTGAAAGATACATTCGAAATAAACGGCACCGACATAAAATTGCAAGTTTGCATAATTTATTATCTATATCTATACAGCAGTACAACACTGCTTGTCGAATCGTCTTTACCGATGTAACCAATCGCCCCGTCTCGTCCGCGCTGCCTATCGGATCGCGCGTGGCTCGAACGCTAAGAACAACTGATTGCACGCTCATCCCCCTCGCCGAGTCTCTTATTGTCGCGCCTAACTCCCCCGTAGTAATGTGTTAAGTCAGGTATTATTCGGCAAAGCCGCATAAATCCCCCTTTGGAATACATTACAGTCGGTTGTAATGCGGTGAGGCGAGAATAATGCGATTTGCATAGAATAATTCCTGGCGCAATATGCACTCGTTCGGCAGTATCGCCCTCCCCTCCTCGAGTTGACTCCGCGCGGCGTGTTTTTGTTGACGGCGAAAAAAGACTGTCTCGCGGCGGCCCGGGTTAAGTGGAATCTCTCGCGAAGTGCAAGCGTACATCGTGTAATGCACACTGGGTGTAATGTATTCGATGACACAAGAAGCACGTCGTTCTATGCGAGAATAATTGTCCGCCCCTTCCCCCCTCTCTCTCTCTCTCTCACCCTCTCTGTCGGTAATATCTTTTATTTATGAGCTCTCCGCTAGTCCGCGAGTTTGCCGCGTTTCTGTGATCCGCTGTTTTTCGCCGGCATCGATCTGCCTTGGGATTCCCATACACCCAGCCGCCGAAATTCGCCGCTGCTTCTTCGTGGCAAACGCGAAAATTGTTTGTGAGTTTCAGCATTAAGGGTTTCTTGCTGTTCGCGCGGGAACAAATTTCCACC